TACATGAGGGCATCGGACCGGTCGAATAGCGGAGCAGTCAAGACGGGAGGAATTTTGGAGTTAGACGGAGTCACTGCAATCACGGCTCAATTGGAGAAGCTATCGAAGCAGGTAGCGGCTTTGCAGACGCAGCAAGTCCATGCAGTCCAAGCTCCCGATCAAGGCGTAGATGAAACGGAGTCGATAAATTATGTGCATGACGCCAACCGACAACACAGAAACCCGTACTCCAACACGTATAATCCGGGATGGAAGGATCACCCTAATTTTGGGTGGGGAGGAAATCAGCAGGGACAAAGGCAAGCACCCCCTCAAGGCCAACCACCTAATTATTCACGACCAGCGCCCGGATTCCAAAATCAGCCGCAAGCACCACCTCAAGGCGGAGACCTCGCAAATATTTTGGCCCAATTTATGACGACCACCCAAGCTTCCATTCGAAATTTGGAAACACAGATGGGCCAATTTGCGACCCAATTGAATGCGAGGCCAGCCGGTACACTGCCGTCCAATACGGAAGACCCTCGAAAGGGCACCAACGAGCAGTGCAAAGCCGTAAGTTTGAGGAATGGAAGACAATTAGAAGAAGTGGCGAAGAAGGCAACAAGCAAGGATGGGGAGGAGCAACAAGAAAAAGAAGCAGAGATTCTGACAGATTCACCAGGTGAAAAAAGGGTCGTTGCGCCTAAGCCGACCCCTCAGGTACCTTATCCTCAACGCCAGATAAAGGCGAAAAATGAGTCGTATTACAAAAGTTTTCTTGAGCAATTGAATGAATTACATATTAATATTCCTTTTACTCGAGCACTTGAACTAATGCCTCATTGGGTGAAATTTTTGAAAGACATGGTATCAAAGAAACGAAAATTCGGTGAACATGAGATGATAGCGTTAACCGAACAATGCAGTGCCATTCTTACGCGCCCAATTCCACCAAAGCTTGGAGACCCGGGTAAGTTTACGATTCCAGTCGCTATCGGAGGTAAGTTCTTTGCAAAATCTCTCATAGATTTAGGTGCAAGTATTAATCTCATGCCTTTCTCGGTTTTTCAAAGTTTGGGATTAGGAGATATAAAATTGGTATCTGTGACGTTACAGTTAGCCGATAGATCACTCATATACCCAAAGGGAATAGTAGAGGATGTGTTAGTTAAAGTAGATAAATTCATCTTTCCTGCAGATTTTGTAGTTCTTGATATGGAAGAAGATAAAGAAATTCCCTTGATTTTGGGAAGACCTTTTTTGAGAACGGGTAGAACTATAATTGATGTGTATAACGGAATTTTATCTATGTCTTTGGGGGATGAAACGATTAAATTTGATGTTTTCCGTACAATGAAACACCCTCAAGAGGTTGATGAATGCTTTGCTTTTGATGTGTTAGATCAATTGAATTTTGATTTTGTTGAACCTTTAATTGCGGATCCGTTGGAAGCATCTTTGTGTGTAGGAACATCAGTTGAAGAAGAAGAAGTGACGGAACAATTATGTTGGTTGGATTCGGCAAAGCCGTTGCCAAGACCACGCTTTGAGAGTTTGGAGACAGAGATCCCGTTATCTGTCACTTTTAAGCCTTCAGTGATCGAACCTCCGAAACTTGAGCTTAAAGTTTTACCATCTCATTTAAAATATATGTATCTTGGAGCTCATGAGACCTTACCTGTTATTATTTCTTCATCTTTGACAGGTCTACAGGAAAAGAGACTTTTGGAGGTATTGCGAGAGCATAAGCTGGCACTTGGATGGACAATCGCCGACATCAAGGGCATAAGTCCAACTTTTTGCATGCACAAGATCATATTGGAGGAGGGCCATAAATCTTCGGTGGAACAACAGAGGCGATTGAACCCCATCATGAAGGATGTTGTGAAGAAAGAAATCATCAAGTGGCTAGACGCAGGTATTATTTTTCCTATCTCCGATAGTGCGTGGGTTAGTCCGGTACAATGTGTACCCAAGAAGGGGGGAATGACTGTTATAAAAAACGAAAAAAATGAATTAATCCCTTCTAGGACAGTAACGGGTTGGCGAATTTGCATGGATTATAGAAAATTGAATAAAGCCACTCGAAAAGATCACTTCCCGTTGCCCTTTATTGATCAAATGCTTGATAGGCTAGCTTGTCAAGAATTTTATTGTTTTTTAGATGGGTATTCCGGTTATAACCAAATTGCCATAGCTCCCGAGGACCAAGACAAAACCACTTTTACTTGTCCTTTTGGTACCTTTGCTTTTAGACGCATGCCTTTTGGTTTGTGCAATGCTCCTGCTACTTTTCAACGTTGCATGATGGCAATTTTTACGGACATGGTTGAATGTGGTCTTGAAATTTTTATGGATGATTTTTCTGTTTTCGGTGATACGTATGACACTTGTCTCCAAATACTGGCTAAGGTTCTTCGCAGGTGTGAAGAAACAAACTTGGTGCTCAACTGGGAAAAGTGCCACTTTATGGTGCAAGAGGGGATTGTGCTAGGACACAAGGTGTCAAAGAAGGGGTTAGAAGTCGATCGAGCAAAAATCGAGACAATCGAGAAACTACCGCCACCAATTTCCGTAAAGGGAATTCGAAGTTTCTTGGGACATGCGGGATTCTATAGGCGGTTCATCAAAGATTTCTCCAAGGTGGCCAAACCATTGTGCAATTTGTTGGAGAAGGATATCAAATTCGATTTCAATGACGAATGTCTCAAGGCCTTCGACGACTTGAAAACAAGGTTAGTAACTGCCCCTATTATTGTTGTGCCCGATTGGAATGAACCTTTTGAGCTTATGTGTGATGCCAGCGATTTTGCGGTAGGTGCCGTGTTAGGTCAAAGAAAGAATAAAATTTTTCATTCAATTTACTATGCTAGTAAAACTCTCAACGATGCACAATTGAATTATACCACCACTGAAAAAGAGTTGCTAGCAGTTGTTTTTGCATTCGAAAAATTTAGATCATATCTTATAGGCACCAAAGTCATTGTCTTCACGGATCACTCGGCTTTAAAATATTTGATAGAAAAGAAAGAGGCAAAACCTAGACTTATTAGGTGGGTGTTATTGTTGCAAGAGTTCGACTTGGAAATTCGTGACCGTAAGGGTAGCGAAAACCAAGTAGCCGATCACCTATCTAGGTTAGAAACGGAAGTCAAAGATCCAATTTGCATTAATGAAAATTTTCCGGATGAACAATTGCTTGCGATTAATAATCAAGAAGTACCATGGTATGCGGATTTTGTGAATTATTTAGTTAGCCATGTACTACCACCCGAGCTCACTTTTCATCAACGGAAAAAGTTTTTACACGATGTGAATTTCTACTTTTGGGAAGAACCCTTTCTGTTTAGACAATGCAGCGATTTAGTCATTCGAAGATGTGTGCCGGAAAGCGAGCAAGGAGATATACTCTTCCACTGCCATGGCTCGGATTATGCGGGACATTATGGAGGAGAGCGCACGGCGAGAAAGGTGCTTCAATCAGGTTTCTTTTGGCCAACTTTGTTTAAAGATTGCTATAATTTTGTTTCAAGTTGTGATAGATGCCAGCGAGTTGGTAATATTTCAAGGAGGCACGAACTCCCATTAAATACAATGATCGAAGTAGAGCCCTTTGATGTATGGGGGATAGATTTTATGGGACCTTTTGTCCCATCATTCAATAACTTATACATCTTAGTGGCCGTCGATTATGTATCTAAATGGGTTGAGGCGGCCGCCTTTCCTACTAATGATTCTGCAGTGGTTTGTGCTTTCTTAAAAAGACAGATTTTCACTCGTTTTGGAACGCCACGAGCAATTATTAGTGATGGAGGCACTCACTTTTGCAATAAACAATTCGAAGCACTCTTAGCCAAGTATGGAGTAAAGCACAAAGTCGCGTTGGCATACCATCCTCAGACGAACGGGCAAGCCGAGGTAACGAATCGTGAAATCAAAAACATCCTCGAAAAGGTTGTGAGTCCTACCCGGAAAGATTGGTCGAAAAAATTGGATGATGCACTTTGGGCATATCGTACGGCTTACAAAACTCCACTTGGGATGACACCGTTTCGTTTGATTTATGGCAAGGCGTGTCATCTACCGGTTGAATTGGAGCATAATGCGTTTTGGGCAATTAAAAAGCTGAATTTCGATATTGAAGCGTGCAAGGAGAAACGAATGCTGCAACTCAACGAGCTCGATGAATTGAGATTGAATGCGTATGAAAGCAATCGTGTATACAAGGAGAAAACCAAGCGTTGGCACGATAACAAGATATTGCATCGAGAATTTCAAAAGGGGCAATTGGTTCTCCTCTACAACTCCCGTCTAAAGTTGTTTCCGGGAAAACTCAAGTCAAGATGGTCCGGACCGTTTACTATACTCGACGTATTTCCGCATGGCGCAGTCGAAGTATTGGACCCCGAGACCGAAAAATCGTTCAAGGTCAATGGACAACGCCTCAAGCATTATCATGGAGGGGAATTCAATCGCCAAGTGACTTCGGTCACGTTAGCTTGAACAAAGAAGCAGACAAAGTCCGGCTGAAGACTGTAAACTTAGCGCTTCTCGGGAGGCAACCCGAGCTTTCGTTTTTCGTTTTTTTTATTTTATTTTCTTTTAATTTTTGTTTTTATTTATTTATCTTGTTAGTGTTATTTTTTTTTTAAATTAAAAAAAAAAAAAAAAAAAAGTTTCAGGGGCACTAATATGAAGTTTTTATTTTTCAGGGCCTTAAATGCAATTATGGAAACTTGTCACACGGCCGTGCGGAAAAAGACCTGGAATCTTGCACGGCCGTCCGAGAAACGGAGGAGGCTACTGGACAAAAACGCACATTGGTGCGGCCGTGCGGATTTATACTTAAAATCTCGCACGGCCGTCCGAAATTAAGACGGGCCACTGCCCAATTTCGACGTTTGGCACGGCCGTGCGGATTCTAGGCCAAAATCCCGCACGGCCGTCCGAAAGGGAAAAACGTGGCAGATTAAAAGGGTTTTTTCCAAACCCCAATTTTCACAAATCCAACCCCTCTTTCTCTCCCACTTCGAACCCTAACCCCTCTTTTCAAAAATTTTCGATTTCCTTTGGCAATTTTCACCGAAATTCCACAAACTATACACACATACTACTAAATCTTGGTGATTTGTTGTTGATTTGCGCAGGGAGGCTTCAAGAAGGGTACAAATTTCTCCAAAAACCCATTCTACCAAGAACGCCCACAAGGTGTTCGACGAATTGCTCGAGTCAAGTTTGGAGGAATTTTTGCACACCAATCCACTTCTAATCCCTTCTACACACATTCTCAAGTCATGGGGAAACGAGGACGTGACGGAGAGGGCACTTCCAAAGGCGAAAGCACTTCAAAGGGCAAGGGGAAGGGCAAGAAAACCGACCAAATTCCGACTCCCGACGACGACGCTTTTTGTGTCGAAGGCGCTAGTGCTCGCTTCGAGAAGCAAAAGGGGAAGAAACTAGTGACGGAGCGTGCCTACGAAATCACCCTTCCACAATTTGCCCCGTTACATCAAGAATTCCTACGACGAGGGTGGCAAGCACTATTGGAACCGGAGGGTTCAATCAACCTATCATTGGTCCGCGAGTTCTACGCCAACAACCATATCCACCTCACAGAGGAGCGGACCGTGAGCACTGTTCGAGGCAAGAGGGTCGAGTGGAATGCCTACGACATCAATTCCTTCTATCACCTCCGACACATGACACCATTCAATTGGGGGCAACTGCAACTTGCAGTCACACGAGATCACATCGCCGAGGTGTTGTGCGATGGACCCCCCATTTGGTCCGAACTATCTACCGAAGAAAAGTACGAGTTAGAGTGGAAATGCATCAACCAAGTAGGCAAGGCGTGCCTCACGTTCATATGTGCCAACCTCATTCCCACCCGCTCGTGGACTCGCGTGGACCCCGAACGGTGCGCTTTGGCATACTACATCCTCAAGGGCACCCCGATCAACATTGGCGTCATCATATCCGGCCGATTTTGGACCTCCATGGTCAACAACTCCAAGGGGTTTTATTTCCCTTGCCTCATTACCGGCTTATGCAAGAAGGCGAAGGTCCCAACCAAACCGACGGACATTTTCACATCAATTCGGAATCCGATGAATGACCTTGCGGCCCGGCAATACAAGGCACCCATCCAAGATGGCGAGCAACCAGTCGAGAACCAACCAATAACTCCACCCGAGGGTCCAAGCACAAGTTCGGACCGGCGATTTCAAAGACGAATGGAGCGTGAGTTGGTGATAACGAGAAATCGGCTTGCCACGGTGGAGCACAAGGTGAGCACGATCGAGTCCCTCCAACGGTGGTCGGGAAAGATGCTTCAAGCCATTGTGCGACATTTGGCGTGCGGCAATCCCGAGTGCACCGAACCGGCTCCTTTGCCCGCACCGATCCTTGAACCGGTACCCGAGCTTTCGGATGAGGAAGATGATGGTGATGCTCTTGCACATGGTGGAGTTGGAGCGCAACCCGACGATGGTCCGGACGCTTAAAAACAGGTGTTTTCTATCCTTAAACTCCGGGCAAATCACATTGAGGGCAATGTGAATTTTAAGTTTGGGGGTGGTTAATCACTTGTTTTCGTTTATGTGCGCTTTATGTGTGTTTTATTTTTTTTATTTATTTTTCATGCTTTAGTTTTTGTTTTAGTTGTCGTTTTATTATTTTCTTTTTTGATTATGAAAAAAAAAAAAAAAAAAAAAAAAAAGAAAGAAAAAAAATTTTTGTTCGATGCATCGATGAATTACGATGATGGTAGATGGTCAATGTTTGATGATGAAACTACTTGTTTTATGTTGATAAGGAGTATGTATTTGTTTAGCTTTCGATTCAACGGAACGTAGAAGTAAATTATTGCTAGGAATCACACCTTGTGCATTGCTTTGGTTGAATGTTTTGCATTTTAAATTTGGAATTTATTTGTGCTCAATCATGCTTTGTTAGGTTTTAAAGCTCACCTTAGGACATTTATGATACGAAGTGTTGATAATAAGTGATTTGGGATATGATTTGGGCCTTCTTTGAACCGTTTGAGCCTTTCAAGCCTACCCTTTTTGTCAAATTATCCTTAGAACCTTGATTTGAGCCTCGGAGAAAAGGTGTTCTTTCTTTTAGCCAATATGTAGAAGGTAGAAAAGTGGAGATTTTTGAATAATTATCCCTTGGTGGTCGGTCGAAAAATTCTTATAAGATCTTTCTTCTTCTTCGAAAAAAAAAAAAAAAAAAAAAAAAAAAAAAAAAAGAAAGAAAAGAGAAAAAGAAAAAGGATAGATATATATGTGCATCTTCATATATATATATATATATCTAAATCCTTCGATATGCAAAAAAAAAAATAAAAAAAAAAAAATAAAAAAAAAAAAATAAAAAAAAAAAAATAAAGAAGAAGAATAGATTAGAAGGGAGAAATAAGGACTAGTTGTTGAGTTGTGTTGAAAACTCGATCCATTGTCTCAAGGCAAAAGTGTTGACGTGTGAATTTTGGAGAATCGAGTTTATTTAAGTCCCTAGAGGTGAATTCATTGTTTCAAACGTCTATCTTTCAAATTTTGGCGTAATCACCTCAATTCAAAAAAATTAGCCACACATTCCCATATTACCTACCTCGGACCAAAGAGCCTAACAATTGAAAGCCACAAAGCCCCAATGATCCCAATAGCTTATTGTTCAATATTAGTTGAGTAAAATAATTTGGTGAGTATTTGGAGTCAAATATATGCATGTAAGTACAAATTCTTTCTATCTTTAACTTGCAAATATTGGATACTTGAAGCAATTGTATGATTTGTGGTTTTTGGTAATGGTGAGTGACTAAGTGCCGTTGAATGTTAAGCTTGCGAATACTTATGAATTGTCATCATAATTGCAAGTTCTGAAAACACGAAGTTGACCAATCGACCTATGTAATGAGATGTATTGTCATGGTTTGTGTTCTTGATTTGATTTTACTTGAGGACAAGCAAAAGTTCAAGTTTGGGGGTGTGTTAAGTGTATATTTATACACTTAATTATACCTTTTAATTGGAGCTTTTGGTGTGTTTTTACGATAATTGGTGCTTAATTTGGTTATTATTTGTATTTTAGGTGCAAATTGAAGAATTGACAACTTTTGGGGTGAAAACTGCAAATTCAGAGAAAAAGTGGGCCAAAAGTGAAAAAAGCAGATTTCTGAAGAATTAAAAGACCGCACGGCCGTGCGGATTTTAGTTCAAAATCTCACACGGCCGTGTGAGTGGACGTGATGGCGCAGTGAAGGGAACTCAATTATACAAGGAAACCCGCCCTATTAGATTTTTGCACCATATTTAAAGGCCACAAGCACACAATTAGACCTATCTTTTGAATCTTTTACCTTTCATCTTTATTTGAGTTTTTAGCTTTTATCTTTCGACACGCAATCAAGGAGCAAGAACGAAGACGAAGACTTGACGACTCTTCATTATAGTTCTTCTCTTTTATTGTTTTTATGATTTTTCGTATTTTCATTATGTTTTCCGTAACGAACATGAGTAGCTAAGTTTTTATTCTAGGATTTTATTGGAACCCTATGTGGTGATTCGAACCTCTTTTTCGACTTTTATGCAAGTTTAATTCTTCGATTATTTCCTCTATCTTGATCTTATTTAGTGCATGAGCGTAGCTAACTTATGTTGCTAGTTGTTATTGTTAGAATTGATTGACAGATCGTTTTAATAATTAGAACAGGGATAGGAGAACCTTCGAGTAGTTTTTCACCGAATGCGTGTGTTAATTGCATGTATTATCGTAGACATACAGATAATACCTTAGGTAGCCGTTTGCGAGACTTGTTATTTAATGCTTTATTTATATTAGGTTTGCATAGACATATAGTGAATCTTTTATGAATAATAGGTTTATAGCGCAGCGACAGCTGGTTATGAATAAT